CAATAATTCTGTGATTCTGTGCAGGGGGTTTGGAGCATGGCAGGGCTGGGGCTAGTGGAGGTTTGCAGGGCACAGGGAAGATGCACCACAGTGATGGAGGTGAAGGGGCATCTGTTTGTACCTCAGCTCTCAAGACAATGTCTTCAGCTTTGTCTGCCTCTGATCCTCTCTCCTCTCTCTGTAGAAATACCCACATTTCTACCAGTCACTCTTCTCCCTGGAGCAAAGACCTCGCTGCTTGCAGCACCTGGCTCGCTGCACGCTCAGGACCTTCCTGGAGGGCCGGTTGCTTCGGGTCCTGTCTCAGCTGCACCTGCCAAGTGCCCTACACCGGTTCCTGCTGCTCGACTTTGAGGATGTTCTCTACTAAGGGCTGTGGTTCCAGTCCTACTGAGCCTTTATGCGCACATGCCCTATCCCTGCCAGTGCAGTCTGTGCCCTCCCTGCCAACCCCTTGCCCTCGCGCCTCTCCTGTCAGGCCACATCACTCCCTGTGCCAAACCTGTCACCGTGTCCCTGTCCCAGCTAGCCTTGTGCTCTGCCTCACTCACCTGTTTTGGAGCATTCTGTTTACCCACGCTAATCACAAAAAACTCTAGACTCAGTAAGAAAAGACAAATAGGGGGTGGGGGCATTTTGTGGGAGAAGAAGCCAATACGCTGCGTCGATCACAGGTTTAGTTGTAGGGCACCAGTCTCCCTGTCCCAAACCCACAAACCCTAGCCTGAACCAGGCAGCTCCGGTGGCCTGAGCCTTGTGCTGGGATACTGGCCTTAGTCAAGTTGTTTGCAGTTTGTACCCAAAGGCATTTGGAATAAACACTAGTCTTTCTGTATATCCACCCGAGTGTGAGGCCGTGTCACACAGCACGTGTGCTCGCAGACCTGTGCGTCCATCTGCTGCTCAGAGGACACAGGAAAAAGTGTGTGGACAAACACATCCCATGCAGGTATGATGTCTGGGGCTGCCTGGCTTTGCAGCTTGGGGCAGGACAGCAGTGCTTGTGCCAGCACTGAGGACTCTGTTGTGGGGCTGCCAGTCCCATGGGCACGGAGCAGCCAGCCCTGTCACAGCCCAGCCAGCATCTACCAGAGTGCAGGTCCCCACGCTGCTGCCTGGCTGTGCTGCTCTCCAGACAAGGCAAAGGGTAATATTTGTTCCTGTGATTTAAAGACAGTTATAAAGACATCAAACCACTAACCAGCCTTTAAAGATTTGCTGTAAGCTAACTCCACTCCTGCTTCTGACTCAAGGAGCGCCTGAACTGCTGCTGGTGGGCAGAAGGTGGGCTGGGGCCGCACTGCTGGGAGCTCTTCTCGCTGCCCTGCACTTCCAAAGCCTCTGCTGACATCCACATGAGCGCCAGGACCCAGGACCGCACAGATCGGAAGGCTAAGCATTTTGACAGACCCAATACTTGTGTCTTTTTCTGCTTCTGTTGAGAGACGAGGTAGCTCTGCTGCCCAAATTGCCACTGCCTTAAACAACGAAACTGTGCTGCTCAGGGTAGCAAGCTTGAAATAACGACATGAGGTTCAGTGTGCTATTCCTGATGCACCATGATGTGAATGCTAATAGGATACAATAGAAATGTGTTTACACATTGCAGGCTTATAAAAGGTGTCAAGGAACCAGTTGCGGCAGCCTGTGTGTAGGTACTACTATTGCAGTACAGCAATGGTATGTCTCAAAAAGGATTAACAGTGTGATTTACAACATCTGTGGGCAGAGAGGTGAGGTGCTGGCTTGAGGTGATGTAGCAAAACTATCTGCAAAACAGAGATGGTGGGAGCTTCATCTTAAAAGTCAAAGCTTTTAAAATACATGGTGACAGCCTTGGATCAGTGGTGCATTTCCCTTGGAGCAGTGCAGGGACCCAGCCCGACATCACTGTCCCGCTGGCTGGGTGCATGTGTCTCTGTGTGGGTGATCTGTTATTGGGATCAGGTCCTGCGGTCTTAATCCCAAATTCTAATCATCACTTCAGAGTGGTCATTTCTAACCAGACCATATCTGTGACGGGAGGAGGAGAAGAGTCTGTCCCCAGTGGTGGCAGCAGTCTGGGATGGCCTTTGCCTGAGTGGGTATCTCCAGTGGGACAGCAGTCTAGAGCAGTACGTGTGGGGCTGGTTTACTGGTCTGTCTTCTTTTTCAGCACTCTCCATATGTCTGCAATAACGTACGGTCAGGAATGTCTACTCAGCATGTTTGTATTTAGCAGTCACAGAGATTTTTTTTATTTCTTCCGTAAATCTGAACAGTCACTTTTTGGATCCAGGTATGTTTGAGTATTCTCATATCCTTGGGACAAGGGTAACTGAATCGCATGTTTTGTTGATCACCTTTTATTTGTCTTTCTGCTGTCACTTTTTGTTTTGTTTGATGTCCTTTAACTCTTGTATTCTAAGAATATGCAGGCAATATAGGCTGCTCCTCTTCATCATGTTACTCAAAACTATACAGATCCCATTTCTCTCCTTACTCAGGCTGGAATTCTATTCAACCATGTCACTCCCGGTGTGGAAGCTGTCACCCAACCCTTAAGCAAAAGCACAGGCTCTCCCTGTCCCTTTTCTAAGAGGAGCGCATCACTTTGAGATGAAGGGATTACAGCTGTGCACAACATTCAAAATAGGGTTGTGCTGTGGTTGAGTAAGAGTGATTTGTGGCCGTGTGGATGTGAGATCTACACAAATGCCTCAGGAACCTTGGATCCCCTTGGTCACTGACACAGCGTGGGCGAGGATGGCCTTGGCAGTGATGCCCTCCTGTTCGGCATGGTTTCTGCTCAGACGGTGCATGTCACAACCTCAAAGTGCTTTTCAGGCTCGTTACTAACCAGGATGCTGTCCCTGTCTTTTCCTATGTGTTGCACCTTGCGCCTGGAGGTAACAAACCAGATTTTCCAAGAACCCAGTGTTTCAAGCAATCCAGATCAGCTTAGCCTGGGCAAGTACTTCCTGTTACTTTTACCATCCCAGCAATTTACTTTTATCCACTCCAATAATTTTACCAGTAATTGTTTTTTCTATTTCCTCCATGAATGCTAATAACATGTGAATAGATTACAAGTAGAAATACATCTGTCAAATGGCTATATAGAATAAGTCTTCTCAGTTAGCAATTCTTTCAAGTCTGTTAATACTGATCACACTGACTGCAGCATACAGCAGTTTTTTTCGTGTTGGAATGTCATGCAGAACTAAGTCAAATGACTTACAGGAGTCTAAGCATGTCATATCTATCTAGTTGGCTCTATCAAACTTGAGGCTTACAAAAAAAATTACATAAAATTATCTGAAAGTACCACTTTCAAACGACATTAATTTGAATGACATTAATTTGTGTTCTAACTTTTACTGATTTACCCAGGACACACTTTGGCTGCTTGCCTGTGATTGCCTGGGCTGTATGTTGAACTAACTGCTCTGTAGTTTCTTGGATACCCATGTGAATACATTTAAACACTGGCAAGACACTGGATTTTTTTTTCCCCAGTTATCTTAAGTTCCCCAGTGTGCCATGATTCGTTACAAAGAAAAAAATCAATGGTTCAGTGAACTCATTAGCCAATAAAATAGTCTTGGATGTAAGTTATCCTCCTGCAGATTACAAAAATTGTTACTTAAACAGTTTCCTTTTAGCATCTTCCTTAATTACTGATAGAATAGAAAGTATTTCAGTACCACTGTAGAATATGAGTATTACCCACTGTTGTTCCAAATGCAGAGCAGAAATACTCACCAAGTTCTTGGGTTTCATTATGCAAAATGTTCATTTACCCACAGAAACCTAGGGCAGGTTTAATTACCCTCGCTATGATAAAGACGTGTCTCTGTTCTAACACGTGTTTGCCCAGCTTCACTTTGGATGCTCTGCTGCAGGATCACCCTGCTCTGGGGTGGGTGTTTCAGGAACGTTGAGCAATTGGAGGCGGTTCAGAAAAGAGCCACTGGTGAGCTGTGGCAGCGGGAGCTCCGGAGGGGCAGTGGTTGGACACACCACAGTGGGTCCCTGGGGCCCTGAGTGTTCTTCGCTCCCAGAGCCGCAGAGTGGGAAGGGTTGTCTGATGGGTTGTGAGCTCTCTTCCACAGGCAGGGAACTCCCCCACAGCCCCACTGATGTCCTTCCTGGGCCTCAACTGCGCCGAACCGAGCTTTGCCACCGAGCTCGTTCAGCATTGCTGGCTCTTCTGAGTGGCACATAGAGCTACAGCTTGATCCAGTGGTTGGGCAGTGAAGCTGGGCAAACACATATTAAAAATGAGACACATTTCTAATAGCAAGGGTAATTAATCTACTAGTTATTGCGTCTTAGAATAGCTTACCACGGCAGATGTAGATTTCTCATCTCTGACTCTTTAAAAAAAAGTCACCAGGAGATCTGCCCTAATCCAGACCCAAATTCATCCTGCGTGGTGCTGAGCCCACATCCCAGAGGATCGGAGTGCTTAGTTACAGACCCGTGATCCCTGGTCCTGTTGCTCCTTCGCACTGCTCTTCCTCTGGCCTCTCTTACCATTAGGACTGCGTCTGGCCCCTGGCTAGTGAACAGTTTCACGTTTCCCCTAACGTTTCCATTTCCCTGCTCACCTTCTTGATACTTCGTGGATGCCTCTGACTTCTCCTTGGCTTCCTTCATGTTATAACTCCTGGTCTTTGCTGGCTCTGTCAGCTTCCTTGCTCTGAACTTGCTGCCTCTGCTGGTTTCTGAAAAAAAGGCATTCTGGAATAAATACTGATGCTACTTGGTAATTTTATTTAAATATTTGCTCGTATTCAACTTCGGTGACAAGTTTTATCTTCGAGCCCCCTGCCGTTTGGAAGCACCAGGCAGGGTTTGTGGATTGCCAGAGTCCTCGGGGCTGGATGTGCCTCACAAAGGCAAACTCCCTCCTCTAGGGGGGCTCCTGCGCCACACGGGCTTGAGCCAAATGGTTGATAGTAGCCTCTGCCTTGTTAAATTCAGTCCTCTGCAGACCTGCTGGCTGGTGAGGGTGACGGTGCTTCATGTCTGTGTTGCCTGTGGCTTCTGCTCCACCTGAGGGCCTGAGCCAAGGGGCAAGGGGAGATAGTGCAGAGGTGCCAGCCTTGGCTACTGTCATCCTGGCTGCTGAAATCGTGGGTTGGTCTCTTAGATGCAAACCCAATCAGCTCTCTGAGCATATTCCTTTGCTAGCAGTGTCCAGAAGCTGTGCTCCTGTGCTACATGTGTGTGCCCAATGGTCAACTGGGAGCTGAGACATCGCAGGTCCTGCTGGGAGACCTTGGTGGCTGGGAAGAAAGCCTGTGCTTGTCAGCCTGGGAAAAACAAGCGTTTTCTGGATCAGGGAGACCCAGCCTGGGGGCTGCTCCTAGGCACTCTGCTGAA